TGTGCATTTTTGAAAATTTAAATAAACAAATTCAAATCCTGTTTTATGTTAATACATATAAAAAATTAACTTTGTATCAATTCAATAAATGTATAAAAGGTGTTTGCGAAAAGAATGTAAAGTGACATCCAATCACATTTCTCCAAACAAAAAAGTCACGGTATTTTATTGAAAAAATTAATTAAATGCATATGTATGCATTTTTTAAAATTTAAATATATGAATTCAAATATTATTTTATTTTAATACATATGAAAATTAACTTTGAATCAATTCAATAAATGCATGCCAAGTGCTTGCGAAAAGGAAAATGTGAAAAAAGCAACATTCTATCTCTTTTCTATGAAAATGTCGCAGTACCTCGTTAAAACAATTAACTAGATACATACATGTGTGTTTTTGAAAATTTAAATATATAATTGAAATCTTGTTTTAATTTTGCATTCAATTTATATTTATTTGAATCAATTCAATTAATGCATCAATAGTGTTGCAAAAATGAGAGTTTGAAAAAGTGATATTCTGTCATTTTCTTTGAAAAAGTTGCGAGATCTCGTTGAAGCAATTAATTAGATACATACACTTGTTTTTTTTAAAATTAAAATATATGAATTCAAAACTTGTTTTAATTTTGTATTCAATTAATATTTGTTTGAATCAATTTAATTGATATATCCAAAGTATTTGCGAAAATGAAAATGTGAGAAAGTAGCATCTTGAAAAGGTGACATTCTCTAAAAAAAGTCACAGTATCTCAGTGGAGTAATTAATGAGATGCATACTTGTCTTTTTGAAAATTTAAATATATGAATTTAAACTTTGTTTTAATCTTGCATTCTATTCATATTTGTTTGAATCAATTCAATTGATGCATTCAAGTTTTTTCGAAAATGAAAATGTGAAAAGTGAAAAAGTGACAGAATTAAATATTTTTTCTTTTAATTTATGTTTTGATATTACTAGTTTTGGCCTATTTACGAGCTATTTTATTTACTCATCAAGGGAGATTTTTATTATCGTTTCAAAGTATTCTGACAAATTTTGAAATACATCTTCCAAATTTAAAACTCGATAAATGACGATTTCATAATAACAAGTCAAAAATGTCGAAAGAAATGGAGTTAATAATTTCGATTTATTTTGCGTTTAATAATTCATGCAAAATCATATTTGATATTTAAATTTCGTCCATAACATATTTATTACCACCATATTGCAAGCTTTCTAACAAATTTTAAATCGCTCAAAATGGATCATCGTAACAAAAAATATCATATCAAAACGAATACTTTTTAATAATAAAAACTTTAAAAAGTGAAAAATATGGAAGTGTGGTCATTAATCTTTGGATTGATTTTGCTGATTTTCAAGTGTTTTATATTTTTTGTAGACAGAATTAATACGGTTATTAAAACTTTAATTTGGTTCAAGTGTATTAATCAATTTCTTTGTCTTTTCAGAGTACCATGTCTAATTTCCTCATAAAGAATTAAAAAATTGGGTTTTAGGTATCTAAATAAAGTGTGTGACTGAATGTATGTATAAAGACCAAATCCATTATTATTGTATTTGACAATATGCCAAGTACATATAAAAACTATATATTGAGTTATGTTCCTCAAATCATATGTGATTCTTATTTTTTGTGTCATCTCATCAACACAAGAATATAAGAAGACATTGAGAATGGATATAACCCACAACCAAGAACAATAATTCAAAAATCAAAAGAATCAATATTTAAGATTTAAGATATGGGATCAAGATCCAATAATAAAGAATCATTCATAATGAATTAAGGATCGATATATTTGGCATGAAATCTACCTCGTTACTGTATGCGTTTTTGGCAAGCTCAACTAGTCTCAATTAATTGTACATGAGAGAAATTTGTATTTCCCTTTTTCAATCTTTGTAAAATATAATGCGTCTATTCTCGATCTTTTTTTTAAAAGCAAAATCTATTTTCCAATCTTTTAATCATGTAGTAAAACTCATCACTCTCCATTTTGTCTATTAAGCCACTGTCCAACATTCTTTAAAACAAAAAAAAATTATTTTTCATACTTACTTTTTATTAAAGTCTCATATTGACTGGTGATATTTACACAATCCACTTGATAAGGTGAAGGCAATCCTCCCCTAACAAGTCGATTTTGTTAGGTTGAATTAAGTCCAATATCCTTTCTAATTTGGTATCATAGTCAAATATCTCACGCTAATTTCTTTCTTGGATTTGCTTCCGCACAATGTCTTCTTCGTATTCATTCAATGGTGTCAATACCAACAATCCTCTCCATCTCTCCCATACCTCATTACCAATATCATTTCTAATATGGTATCTGAGCAGACACAATTTTGTAATGTTGGGTGCACCCAATAGCCACTTGTTCGCATTTGTTTTGCATGGTCCACGCTGTGCTTGATGAGACGTATTAGAGTCTCACATTGACTGGTGATATTTACACGATCCACTTAATAAAGTGATGACAATCCTCCCCTAGCAAGCCGATTTTGTTGGTTGAGTTAGACTCAATATCCTTTCTAATTTAACTACACATTTATATAATAAAATATTTTACACGTATATTCAAAAAAATTTCACACTTTTTAATCACATATTTTCTAAAAAATCACTATTTAAAATATTATTTTTACACAATAATGACCAAAGACAAAATAATGAATTTGCCCATATTTTCTAAAAAATCACTATTTAAAATATTATTTTTACACAATAATGACCAAAGACAAAATAATGAATTTGCCCATCCCTTTAAAATAAACAAAAATAAAAATCCTATTAATAACAAAAAGTAAGAAAAAATTTCATATAAAGTCCCTGAACTTTTTGAAAAGTAGAAAAATAAAAAGCAATTAAATTATAAAAAAAATCACATAAAGTCCATGACTTTTTAGAAAGTACAAATAAATCTCATTGAAAATATTTTAAAACATATTAACATATAAAAAAAATTAGAAAAACTAAACATTTCATCTTTGCAAGCCAAGGCAAGGCAAGCCATCCACCCACCCAACCCAACCTCAAGCCAAACCCCATCACCATCACCACCCCAATCCAAAAACCACTTCTACGAATGCAACTAGTGTTGGTACCACAGCCACATTAGAAAAATTAATTATAAAAAGACAAAAAAAAAATAAAAATCGATAGTCACAATTTGAGTTATGTGATATTATAGGCTGCAATTTTTTTCTTGCAAACGGGTGATGAAGTGATGGTGAGGTGCAGGTGCCCATGGTTGGTTGTGGTTCTGCGATTTAGGCCGTCGATTGTTTATCCCATCGATTTTTTTTTTTCTAATCTAATTTTTCTGAGGTGGTTGTGGTGGAATAGCCGCGAGCGTGATTACATATGTGGAGGTTGTATTTGGCAGGTGGTGGGGTTGGAGTTGGATGAGTTTGAGTGGAAAAGTAAAATATTTACTTTATTATATTCCTTTTTTTTTTCCTTGTGTGTTAATATGTATTTAATTGTTTTAAGTGAAATATGTTTGTATTTTTAAAAAGTTAGGAAACTCCTTTTACAATTTCCCTTTTTTTTTTATTACTTTCTTTTTTTTTTATTATTATTTAAAAAGGAAGATAGATCCATCAACCCTTGTTTGATCCACATTCTGCCCCAAATTCATTTTTTCAATATTCATTTTCAACAACAAATTTTTCAATAAAATAATACTACACAAATTCAAAACATTTTCTTATTTTTAAACTACATATTTTACATCACATCACATCATAAAATGTATTTTCTTCTCAATAATGTACATCAAACACCCCCTTAATAATCCAAATAGAGGGAATGACGAATTTTGCTACATACTTGAAAGGCTGACGATGGATTATGCTAAAAAAAATGGTTGAGGTAGATTTGTGACATTGCATTATGTATGGAAATGAAAAGTGCAAATTTCCCTCTATGTATACTCAAACTCTCCTATAAAAATTAGAATTATTCTATGTGTAAAACTACACCCCCCTCCCATGGAGGGGAGCCCAAAAATGTTTTATTGTGTGTGAGCTCCCCTTCATGTGAGAAGGGTGTAAAAGATTGTGTACATATAGCACTACCCTAAAAATTAATGACAGAGAATAATGCATGACAGTACTATATTTGAAGCTTTATGAATTCACCAGGTTGCAAAGAAATACTTTCACATGTACGTACTGAAAACCCATCCAAACTGCATTTTGCCCCAGATACTTCGATTTGTATGACCTCTAGTGGAAGATCTCCTATGTTCTTGGCATACAGTTCTTTCGTCAAAGGCTGAGGACAGGAAAGACAGGAAAGACTTCTGTTCTTCGTATAGTGTAATGTTGGAAACCAGAAATTAAGAGAAGTTGGCAAAGTCAAACTTGAACTCTAAACTCTGCACAGGATCAGACTCCTAAAGCAAGGCCAATAAAATTAAGCCCCCAAATCCTCTCTGAGTAAGCTACTCGACGCCAGAGAGATTATTTCTTATCAGAGCTGAACTTGTTTAGTCACATTGATTAGACGGTTGAAAGAGAATTGGACCTAATAATGCTCTACCATAAGGATGAACAAAAGCCTCTGTCAGTGCATTTTTCGCTATTGAAAAACCATACCTTGTTGGAGCAATTGTTCTATTACTCACTAAACTACTGGATGAAGAGGGTTGAAAGAGTGTGTCAGATATCCTGCACTCACCAATGATCTCTCCAGCATTTAGAATAAGATGCATAACAACTGGCTCTTGGCTTGGGTTTTTGACAGTTATCCACCGAGAAAAATGACTTCCGACCTGAACCGCTGGGAACAGTACTTCATCATCATCATCAAGAAGAACAGACATGAAACTTGCAGTAGCTTGAGATTTCCAGTTCCTGAGCACCAATTCATCTGCTTCTCTGCTATACACTGCCTTCAGATAAGGATTTCCCCTAATGAAATGGTTGTTGAGAGAAAAAACTTGAAAAACATGATTAAGTACACAAGTAAAATGTCATTTACGAAGGCAACAGGACATGATTCAAGATGTCATGTTGAAACTAGTTGAATACCATATAATGTTTTGCGGACAACATATCACGGAATTTCAGGGGAGTGGCTTTTCGGCAACAAAACATGAGGCATGTTTTGATTAGTGAATACAAGATCAAACCGACTTGGTCTACTATATACTAAAAGAATCTCAACTCACACAACTTTATAAGCAAAAGATGGGAAAAAAAAAACTCCAGGAAAAATGACCTATATTTGTTTCAACTAAGAAGCAGATGAGCAATATGCAAGAGCTATCTAATTCCCTAGAATCTGCACAAAGACAGATGTTTCCACTATCTATTAATCGCAGGATAGTTGATTCTCAGTAACTAGACTCATAACTACATCACATATGCGTATGAAACTACAGCCCCATTCTCAACCCCAACCTCAAAAATTTGTTGCAACTGACACACATATACTCCTTTAAATCTTTTCTAACAACACAAAAACCCGCCAACTGCAAAATACGTGATCAAATAATTAAATGCTAACATCAAAACCAAATGCTAGCTTAGAATCCAGGTACAAGGTGTAAGAAGTTGAATTCTCTCTTTCTTCCAGTTGTCCCTTTTTACAAATAGAGCTGGTCATGATATCACTCGTCCATTCCTCTGAGTCTTATATTTGAGAAGACAAGGAATCTAGAACTTTATTAAAATCGAAGAAACACTAAACAAAGAAGCAGAAAATATATAAGTACCATGCATGGGAGCCCAACTCGGAGTAGATTATAGCATTTAAAATATCGTTGTAATTAATTTAAGATGAATAAAAAAGAAAAAGAAACAAAGTTTTGTTATTAAATAATAAGCTCTAGCCACTAGATGAATCAAACGGGTCAAACAGAGAGGGAAAAATGGATTTAGTAATATATACCAAATTTATGGTGAGGAAGCTTAGTGTTTTGTTGTTGTTTAATAACAAGATGAAGCAAAGTCATGTAATTTTCCTGGCAAAATTGTTTCAGGAGAAGAACATGGAGCAGAATCTACATACCTTTATCTCTGATGGTGGCTGCATACTGCTGCCTAAAGATATTTGTCTCTAACTGGTGTCTTCTACATCTTTGGAGTGCTGTATATATCCAATAGAAGAATCTGTATTATGCCCTGAACAAATACGGACTACATCTTCACAGGATATTTCAATCTGAGAATTTTTTGTGCCATTTATCCATATAAGTAATTTGCAATTCTTCTCCACTTCAGGAGTATCAGGAGCACAAGTAAGCACAGCTATTTGTGTTACAGTACTAGGAAAAAGTATAATTCCTTCCATATATCTAATTTTGAAATGTTCTTTGACTTCCCCTACTTCACTGACCTTGAGAACACTCAACAAATAAGGAGCATTGTTTCCCAAGGAGAGAGCAACGGCAAAAAATCAGCTCATATCACGTGGCACTATCACCTCCAGAGATACGGAGACAGGAATTTTAGGTTCAGTAAAATCAAAACTAATGCTTAATTTTTTCAAGAGGAGCCACAACCGTATCGATATCATCTGTTGAAGATCTAAGCAACTTCATACATACAGCACCAAAAAGCTTTCCTTCAGATTGGTATGAAAGATCTAATTCCATAAGGGTATCTGCTTTTAGAGGACTAAGCTCCCAATTTATTTGTGGCTTCATGGCAATTAGGTACATCAACTTCCTCACTTTCAATAACCAACCAGTCATTATTACTCAACAAACTGTATTCACTTGTATCTCCATTATTATTGATGCTACAAACAACTTTTTTCGAGTACAAAGCATTTCTCGAGGAAATGGATATCCAAGCAGTTATCGTTGGCATAGAGGGTTTCATCTAAACGATTAAGCAAAGACAAATTCTTTCTCCACCTTCCATTTGATGAAACATCAATACCAACTAGAGGCTTTATCCAATATGGGGAATTGACAACAAAGCCTTTAGCCTGAATCACGAACCCGCCAAACTTGTTTGCAAGACAAGCTGAGCTGATTATAAGCCTAACTGCGAGGCAAAAACACAAAACAAATGGACGCAACTTCCCCAGGAACCAGAACCATTTCACTGAAGTTGCATGGATAAAACTGTGAATTGGTACTAAATGGATCATATACATTCAAACTGCTGTCACTGTCCAGATTTTGCACTGTTAAAAACGCCAAGGAAAATACAAATGCTTTTCTCCCCAGTCCAACAAGGAAAGCTTTATTTCCACCTAAGGTCTAGCCAAGCCATCCACAAAGCCAGATTTGACATTCCTAATATTCTCCCCTGACTGAAAACTCTGGGTTTTACGATCCAGTAATGGGCTTCTCCAAGAAGAAATACCACTTAGTTGGCTGCTTCTGGGATTAATATTGTGACATGGCAATTCACTATAACAGAGAACAGAAAATAGCCTTTCCAACCAATAACCTAAAATTACCACAGGACCGACTTAAGTTACTTCTCTCCTGATGCAATCCTATGGATAATCCATTTTTGGATTGAATCTCAGAAACATCAAATACTCGTGACTCATCCTCATATTCTTTAGAATAATATCCAGGCAATGTCGATGGAAAACAGAATGCATTCGACTCCGCACATACAATGTCAAGACCATGTTTTGGCACCTAATTTTTTGACATAAAATTATAATTACTCTGACCATCAAATATATCTTGAAAGTTCATATCAGAATTGCCTCTGTTGAACCCGCATCCCTCGAATTCCAATATATTATGTTCTCCATTCACTAAACATGGCCCACATGTGGCAAGAATGGAAAGAGCACTCGACAGAACCAGTACAAAGTAAAATGACTTGGCAGAGCGAAAAAATCCCCTAAACATAAATCAAAAGTTGATGCCAAAAGAAAATGAAAATGAAAAAGAAAATTACGCTAACAGAAAGCTGTGATTTGGACATTCTAGTCAAAACCCTTCAGTTATCATTTCAGACAAAATAGCACAAATAAAGAAAACAAAAGAAATATCAACTTACACGGGAAAGAAAAAGCACGGCTTCTTTGCATAAGATAAATAAATAGGCGATGGCCTACAATTTACAGTAGCATCGGTATTCATCTTGCTTTGACTATAAATAAACTAGCATCACCATAAATAAACAATCAAAGATCCATAAAGAATTACCATAAAAGTTCATTAGACCCCACTTTATTACACTACAATAAGTACTCTTTCATGTCTTCTCAAAAATTCTGTCATCATCAGAACCAACAAGCTCTCTTCATCAAACTTAAATAAAAACTAAAAACCCAGTAAAATTTTTATGCTTTTTTCCTGAGAAAAATAAATAAATAAATAACTCAAACTTCACAGAAAATAGCAAGGCATCTGCTTGCATTTTAACTATCGGAGAGTGAGAGGGAAATTGTTGATACACTAAAAGTGCAGCCCAACTTAAATGACCCAAAGAGCGAAGCCAAATTGAGAATCCAAGATGAAAGCCCAAGCAAAGGGTATTATTGAAGAATGTAAAAACCCACAAGTAAAGGAATGCCGTCACCCAAGCTTACAGAACACCCAAATGTTGAGCGAATAAAGTACCCTATGGACGCTCAGAGCGAAGGAGTCGTCGCCCAAATTGTTGGGTTGCCCAAAATCCTAGCGATGACTGAACCCTGTTGTT